AATCCGATCTCTTTTATCTTCCTCTCTCTTTGCCAAAAGTGCCTGCTTTGCCTGGGTGGCTCTGAGGGCTTGATAAGCCTTCCTCTTTTTCAGGAGATTTTTCTGGAACCATGGGGATCTTTTTTCTTTGCCCTTCTTCCACCATCTTCCCAGTGTGAAGACTCTTAGAATTAATAAGCAAATTTCGTAGTGTAGCTGGATATAAAGTCAACACTTAAAAATCATAGTATTCTTGTACACATACAACAAAGAGAAAAATTAGAAAATCACATCATTCACAACAGCAACTAAAAAAATACTTAGTCTCACAAAGGAAGTAAAAGATCTATATAGAGAAAATATTACTCTGAAAAGAGATCAAAGAGAATTTTAGAAAATGGAGATATTCCTTGCTCAGACAGTAAGAGCCAACATTGTGAAAATGGCCATACTCCCAAAATTGTTATATAGAGTCAATGCAATCCCAGTCAAAACACCATTATTGTGCCTAACAGATGTAGAGAAAACATCCTTAAAACTCATCTGGAACCAGAACAATTCTAGAATATCAAAAGCAATCCTTGGGGGCCAGAGAGATGGCTTGGTGGAATAAGTGCTTCCCTGACAAGCGCAAGGGCCTGAGTTCCATCCCTGGTTCTGCCAAAAACAAAACAAAACAACAAAAAAAGCAATCCTGGGCAACAGAGGCAAGGCAGGAGGTATGACAATCCTTGACTTGTAATTATACTACAAAGCTACTGTGACAAAATCAGAATGGCACTGGCAATAAAACAGACCTGCACATCAATGGAACAGATTAGAATATGCAGAAACAACTACAAACACAGTCAGCTACCTTGTCTTTGACAAAAGGGCCAAAGGTATTCACTGTAAGAGTCTTTTTCATAAATGGTGGTAGAAAAACTGGTGGCTCTCCCCTTGCTCAAGACTAAAACTAGACTCATGTCTATCACCATGCACTAAAACAAAAATGGATCAAAGATCTAAATATTATAACAGAAACACTAAATCTGCTGCAAGAGAAAGTAGGTAGAAATCTTGAAGACATAGGGCTAGGCAGACAGTTCATGAACAAAGTCAAACAGCACAGGAAATACTTCAAAGAATCAACAACTGGGATCTCACCATTTTGCATATCAAAAGAAATTACCAACAGAGTAAAAAGAATGCCCACAAATTGGGAAAAAATTCAGCCATCTGTCCATCAAACCTAGGACTTCTATCTAGAGCATAGAAAGAATTAAAAAAAAAAAATCAGGCCTCCAAAATTCAAAAGACCCAATCTAAAAATGGACATCTGAGATGATGAAAATGAAGAAATACACATGGCAAATAAATATATGAAAAAATGTTCAATATCATTCATCATTCGAGACATGCAGATTAAAACAACACTGAGATTCCATCTCATCCCAGAAAGAATGGCTATCATCAAGAAGTCTGCTAATAACAAATGCTGAAGATGCTTTAGTGAAAAAGGAACACTTCTTCATTGTCGGTGGGAGTGTAGACTAGTACACTCCCTATGTAGACTGGTACAACTACTATGGAAATCAGTGTGGAGCCTCCTTAAAAAATTAGGATTAGCACTCCCATTGAATTTAGCTATTCCTCTTCTGGGTATTTTTCCATAAGAACTGAAGTACCACACCACAGTGATATATGTGTACCCACTTATAGCAGTGCAGTTCGTCATAGCTAAATCTTGGAAACAACTCAAATGTTCATCAACTGAGGGATAGAAAAGATGTGGTATTTCTATACAATGAGGTATTACTCAGCTATAAAGAAAGATAAGCTTGAGGCTTTTAGAGATAAATGGATTTAACTAGAGACCATATTAATAAGTGAAATAAATCAAGCCTGGATGTGTAAACATAGTATGGTTTCCCTACTATAAGAACCTGAACAAGTAAATAAAATCTAAAAGTTATGATATCTTGAAAAGGAAAGATAGTGCTCAAATGGAAAGAACAAATAAAATGAGGGAAAGAGAAAAAAGGAGAGAAATATATGCACACAGGATAGCTAAGATAATTGTACTAATTTCTCTGCTATTAGAATGAATAACGTGATTTTTTTTACTAATTTTACATGTTTATATTTGATAATCTGAACAATTACTTTGAAGATAATATGCAGTATAATTTTGAATTC